TTTTGATATGCCGTCGGCCGAGGGGATGGGCATGGGGATGGATGACATGGATCTGCCGGAGGATAATTCGTTGAAAGTTGGAGAGGAGAAGGAGATCGGAAAGGAAGGGTTGAAGAAGAAGCTTGTTAAAGAGGGTGAAGGCTGGGATGCACCTGAAAACGGCGACGAAGTAGAAGGTAATTGTTTTGTAATTAAAGATTCACTAATATTTTGGTATTTCTTCAGTCTTATAATTTTCTTATTTCTCGCTTTTTTCCTTCCTTCGATTGCTGCAGTTCATTACACTGGCACTCTATTGGATGGGACGAAGTTTGATTCCAGCCGTGATAGGGGCACACCGTTCAAGTTCCCCCTCGGTCAAGGTCAGCTAATCCTTAATCCATACTATGATTCCGCCGACTTTCATTTTTAATTTGAAGATTCTTCGTCGGTCTTAACTTGGGTAAAATAGTCTGCGTTATCATGGTAATGATAGTTTGACAATATTGGATGTTGTTCTGGGTGCTGTCTATGCAATTTTCTTTTCATATGAACTACTATATTCGTTATATATATATATGTGTGTGTGTGTGAACTACTAGACGTAAATTATACAAATCGCATAAATGCTTAGCGGCGAATCTGACTCATTGCTACATGGTTTGCCTGGAGTATCGCTGTGTAATGTTGGTGTGTAATGGGATAAAATATTTCAATTTGCATGGTGAAATAATACCTTATAATGGATTGTTTCAAAGGCCTAAAGTGAGTGGGAGTATGAAGGATTGGTGCTAAGCTACCCAGACCAATGCAGTTGGATGTATAGAAATTTTGGGTTAGAAGACCAGCAAGACTGAAAAGTTTGTGTGGTACTTTGAAAATTAAAGCTGTGTTCATAGTGCTCGAGATAGAGAGAGAGAGAGAGAGAGCGAGAAGTCTGCGTTACTTGACAATTGAAGCTGTGTTGATGGTGCTTCAGAGATAAGAGAGAGAGAGAGAGAGAGCGGGCTGTTATGTGTGTTCAATGTTGCATCTAGAAAATGTTATGGTTCTTCTGTTTGAGCAATAGAAATGCTTGTCATCATTAAGAAATGAAATATTCTGATAAGTTTTCTTGGGTTCCAACAGGACAAGTGATTAAGGGATGGGATCAAGGTATTAAGACAATGAAAAAGGGCGAAAATGCTGTTTTCACTATACCACCTGAGCTCGCCTATGGTGAATCTGGCTCGCCTCCAACCATTCCTCCAAATGCCACTCTCCAGTTCGATGTTGAATTACTTTCCTGGGTAAGTGTCAAGGACATCTGCAAGGATGGAGGAATATTCAAGAAGATCCTTGCTGAGGGAGAAAAATGGGAACATCCCAAGGATCTTGATGAGGTTTTAGGTAAGTTCATTATTCAGTTTTCATATTGATTTTGCTGTAAGGTTGCCTTTGTACCCTGCTGATTATGTGCATATATTTTTTGGTGCAGTTAAGTATGAAGCTCGATTGGAAGATGGGACAATAGTTGCAAAATCAGTTGAAGTGGAGTTCACTGTTCAAGAAGGTTGGCTTCCATTTTTAATCCATATATTTTACATTCCAAGCACTGGTAGGTTTTTGTGTTTAATGACTGGAATATGTTGTCTTATATTAGGTCACTTCTGTCCTGCTCTTGCCAAGGCTGTGAAGACAATGAAGAAGGGAGAAAAGGTCCTCCTGACAGTGAAACCACAATGTAAGTACAAGTTGCTCAATGGAAGATGCATGGTCTTTTTGATTAGAGATTTGCAGGTCATATTTCATGGATATAATTTTTTTGCAGATGGATTTGGTGAGAAGGGCAAGCCCGCTTCTGGTGATCAAGGTGCTGTCCCACCAAATGCTACATTGAATATCAATTTGGAGCTAGTATCATGGAAGACTGTCTCTAATGTAACGGATGACAAGAAAGTCATCAAAAAGATCTTGAAAGAAGGAGAGGGTTATGAGAAGCCCAATGAGGGAGCTGTGGTCAAATGTTGGTGTTATATCTTACCTATATATTTTTTCTTTTTTGGGTTTTGGGAGATTTTTAGACCCCATTTCAGAATATCAAGCTTACAATTTTCCTTCCTTTCTGTAGTGAAACTTGTTGGGAAACTGCAAGACAGCACCGTTTTTGTCAAGAAGGGTTATGGTGATGATGAAGATGACCTCCTGGAATTTAAAACAGATGAAGGTAACTTTTGCTAGTCTGGACTTCAGATAATTTTTTTTGCTTTGAACTATTTTGCTTTCTTGTTTTGACTTGGCACGCTGAACAGAACAAGTTATTGAGGGTTTGGACAAGGCTGTGATGGCAATGAAAAAGGGTGAAGTTGCTTTGTTGACCATTGCACCTGAGTATGCCTTTGGTTCAACCGAGTCACAGCAGGAGTTGGCTGTTGTTCCTCCAAATTCAACAGTACAGTATGAAGCCGAGCTGGTTTCTTTTGTCAAAGTGAGTTATCTGTGATTTGCATGCATGTCCATGCAAGAAGTCCCATCCACTAGTATTTCCACCTGCATGTTTAAGTGATAATTTCCTTTATCTTGTTTAGGAGAAGGAATCTTGGGATATGAACACCCAGGAAAAGATTGAAGCTGCTGGCAAAAAGAAGGAAGAAGGTAATGCACTATTTAAGGCTGGGAAATATGCGAGGGCTTCAAAGAGATATGAGAAGGTAAGCATATGTTTATTATGCAATACTGGGTTTTAATATTTATAAATTTGGAATTTTGTTTAAATCAAGTTTTTCTGTATGCAGGCTGCAAAATACATAGAATACGATACTACTTTTAGTGAGGAGGAGAAAAAGCAGTCCAAAGTGTTGAAAATTTCTTGCAATCTGAACAATGCTGCATGCAAGCTGAAACTGAAGGATTACAAGCAAGCAGAAAAGCTCTGTTCTAAGGTTTGAAACTATCTGAGGAGAATCTTGTATTGTTAAGTAATTGTTAGCTAATTGGTGAAAGTCCTCGTGTCCTGTCTAGGTGTTGGAACTTGAAAGTTCAAATGTTAAAGCGCTTTATCGGAGAGGCCAAGCTTACATGAACCTGGCCGACCTGGATCTTGCTGAGCTTGATATTAAGAAAGCACTTGAAATTGATCCTAACAACAGGTATATTCAGAGTTTAGCAGATTCCATTAGCCAGTTGCAGACTCAGTCTGAAGTGGATTGGATCTTAATAGGGGTCTTGTTGCTTGGTTTTGGCTCTAATGGCTTTTGTTTTGGGCCCAGGGATGTGAAGCTTGAGTACAAAGTCTTGAAGGAAAAGGTGAAGGAGTACAACAAAAAAGACGCCAAATTTTATGGAAACATGTTTGCCAAGTTGAATAAGTTGGAGTCAGTTGACTTAAACGTATTCTCTCTTGCCTTTGGATCTTTCCTTTTCATTTTGTTACAAAGCATAACCAATTGAGGTTAAATTTTATATATGTATGTGTTGCAGAAAACCGCTCCCAAGGATGCAGAACCAATCAGCATTGACAGCCAGGCTTGAATTTGAGAATAAAAGTCAAAAGTAGCTGACATTTTACAAGTATTGGTTGCCGGGCCTTCTCTCTCTTTTTTTTTTTTTACTTTTTCCGGGAAAAAGTATGAATGTGAGGCTATCTGGTCTTTGGCATGGATGAATGCTTTGAACCGTCTGCAGATTAATTGCTGATATTAACGCTAGTGTTGAAAAATGATTGATGTTGAAACTTTTATATCTGGGTTTCTTCTCATGTTTCCTCGAAATGTCTAATGAAGAAAAATGGATGATCCGAATACTTCCCCTCTACATTTGTGCGGGGTGGATTGATTTGTGTGCTAGTATTTTAGGATGTCATTTTTTCCGTGGATAGCCCTGTTGGCGAGGTTATGCTGGCTGTTTCAATCTGTTGATCTATTTGTCAAGTACCAAGTACCAACTGCTGGCATACATTTGGAACTCAATCAAGGGCATGGTTCATCTCTAAATCCATGATGCTTAGGCCCGGGCATCGATATGAAAGTTAATTTAACAGGGATGCTATCTAGACTTGGCGGTTGGTCCAACAAAAAAATGACTTGGCGGTTGGATGTAATCTAGAGCCTACCCATTTAAGCATTTGTTCAGGGCCATAATGAAAACGTTATGTGTATTCTATTTAATGCTCTGGAAACCTCGGCAGTTAAGGAAATTACCCCTAATTTGTTTCTTATGTAACGATCAGTTAAGGGAGTGCTTGTTTCACATATTGGAATCGGAAATGAAAATGGAATCAAGGATTTTGATTTTGAAATTAAATTTTTCATTCCAATATCTAGCATGGTTCATGTATTGGAATTAGTATCATTCCAATTCTTGATGTTTGGTTTGATGAGTGTTTCAGAATTAAATGTAATTAAATTTTAAATTTATCACTGATATAACAATTTTTATAAAATAAAAGAATTATACATACGATAAATTAACATCTTTATAATTGTAACTATAATAGTTATTAATTTTTTGATAAAACATAAGAAAATCATAAATCATAAAAAAAATTAATACTAGAAAATAAATATAGTGGCTGCATTCATAAGGAGTAAATTCTCAAAACTAATTTTTTAAAAGGTGGCGATTTTTGAGTATCTTTTCAAATGGTGAAAAACGCATTCAAAGAATGCGTTCTTCCAAATAAAAACATAACTTTCAAATATATTATTTTAATTTTTATAAATTTATTTAAATATAAAAAATTGGTTAAATAATGCATAACATACAAGGTCTTTATGAGAAACTAATAGATTGTATAGTATATTTTATACCAACTCTTTATGAGAAAACATACCATTTTTTTATGGAAAAAATTGGTTAAATAGTGCCCAAAGAAAAACTAGTATGTTTTGTATTTATCATAAATAAAATATGTGAAAGTTTAAAAAAAAAAAAGAAATTATCCATAATATACCAATTCTTTATAAAAAAACTCACAGATTTTATATTTAATGCGCTATTTAACCAATTTTTCATATTTAAACAAATTTACGAAGGTAAGAATTGTAGTTGCCTCCCCCAAAGTTGGGCTTTTGCGCGCGCGCCGCTGCCCAAGTCTTGTTTGTTGTGCTCCCCTCCGTTCTCTCTTTCTACTCTCGGCAGCTTATTTTATTTGATTTAGAAAGGATTCAATTCCTTCACTCAGACAACTCCAGAACTCTTTTTCGCTGCCGCCACTCCTTGGTGACTGACTTCATCAGTAAATCAACTTGACTTTCTTGAAATTTCTGTAAGTTTTTGTTTTCTTAATTTTTGTTTTGTGTATTTTTAAGTTCTTTTGGTGGACTAGAACTGGAATATATGAACTTGGAAAGAATCTTGAATGTTTTTGGATATGCGCTTGTGTGATAGGAAAAGCTTGTAATTTTGCATGCATATTACGCATTTGATGAAAGACCTGAATGATGAACTTGATTTCAGATGGGTTATTCTCAGATTTTTTTTTTCAAGAAATTTTGGATATGAGATGAAAACTATATGGTGAAGAAGAAGAGAAAGGAAATCTGACGAAGAAAAAGAATAGAAGGTGCGGCGTGTGATAGAGAGAAAGAAAGGTTGGTCCGTCATAAATGTTACTGTATTTGAGGGGATAAGTTGAGGGTTTTGTCCAAAATTTTCTAATTTGCTCGGGAATGGGATAAGTCTGATTTTTTAGAAATGATTTCAAAAATTGCATTTCAATAGACTTAACTCAAACAACAAATAAGGAGTTTATTCTATTTTGTGATTCCCAAATCCTTTAACCAAACAGTCCCTAAGTTCTGTATCAATTGTTTTTAGGGTTTGTCCTAGAGGCGTCCACTGAATATTACTAGTATTTAATAGGGATCCAGTGTATTAGTACGTTGGAAAAGTGAAATTAGAATGAGGAAATATCTAAATGAAGGGGTTTTATAAGTGCTCATTGGTATCTCGTAATTTTTTAATTTGATTAATAACATTTTCTATTTTGATAAATAGCACAAAAGAATTCTAAGCACTTCTAACCAAACATCTTTTCCCCCAATCTAAACCTTTGTCAGAATTATTATTATCTGCTAGCGTATGTTCTATTGGAAAATTCTGATCACAGTGTCCCAACAACTGTGGGGAGAGCCACCCGAGGGAGTGATCAAAATCAATTTAGATGCATCCATTTCAGCTCAAATGACACAAACAGGAATAGGAATCGTGACAAGAAAATGGGCAAAAAATATATGGTGAAAGCACGAGGACAGCTAAATGAGCTGAACAAAGGAACTGCTATTGCCGTAGAAGCTGAGGCCATCAAACATGCTCTAATTTTGGCTAAAGAAGTTGGCTAGAATGTCATTCAGATGTAATCAGACAGTAAGAATGACATAAAAATGATCAACTCCAGATGTGTTAGTAATAACAACTTAGCGACCGTCCGTGAGGATATTAAGGACGCGAGCGATATGTTTGACCAAATGTCCTTCATTTTACAATATCATTTTACAGATCAGGCAATACAATTAACCAAATGGATGTCAAGTCAGAAAAGCCTACCCTGTTTTCGCTTAATGAAGCTGCGGAGGCAGATATAAGGGTAGTTGCCCTTTTTTGTAACTATCCTTGTGTTATCAAGTATTTATAATATCATTATCGTTTGACCAAAAAAAAAAAAAAAAAAGTCCTAGGACTTCCATGTATTAATTTTCACTTAACCCTAATAAAATTCCAAAATTAGGTATTTTTAGCATTTCAAAGCAGCACTTGTAAGTCATACTTATTTTCTTTAATTTGTTTTATTCTCCTTTTCCATGAGATAAATGTGCATGCTCCAAATAATTTATGAAACACAGTCAATAAAACGAAGGGTGCAAATGAGTTGAATCAAGTTGAATTTTGATCTAATCGAAACGAGTCTCAACCTAGGTTTATAAAGCTCGAGCTCGACGAGCACAAAATGTAAAGCTCGACGAGCTTAAAAAAATTTTAAAAAAAATTAACAAATAATAAATATTAGAGACATATATGTAATTTTACTATTAAAATAAAAGAATATATATAATCAAATTTAAGCCGACTCGCGAACTAACGAGTTTAGTATTTTTTTATCTCAATTTCGAGCTCGAATTTGACTTGATCAATTCAAGCTTAACTGAACTTGGACTCGAGCCACTCGCAGCTCCACGTAAACAAAGAAAAAAAATGACAGTAACAAACTGCAAAGCTCAACGTTCCCAAACCCAAACAAAAAAAAAAAAAAGGGGAAAGCATATAAAACGAAAAAAAGTTTAAAAAATAAAATAAAAAGTGACATTGAGTAGTAATTGGTAAATGCCAAGGAAATATTGGACTAATGGTTAGGAATGAAATTCCAATATTTGGAGATTTTGGATTTGAATCCCCCTTCATTTTCCCAATTTTTTAAATCTTACTCATCTCATGGTGGAAATTTTTTTTTTAAAAAAAAAAAGTAATTTGTAGACCAAAAATTCATGGGCTGAATTGGAGACTACCAAGAAAACAAAAATAAAAAAAAAAGCCCAAGTGAGCTAGGCCCATCTAGAGGGAAGCCCAGTTACATTGTCCCATTTAGGGTTTTAGCGCTGTTCCATCGGTATCTTAAAGATTTCAAACCATACTAGGTTTTGCTTTTCAGAGCGGAGAGGACTTTGCAGGAAGACTCGTTAGAGTAAAATCTCTCATTTCTTCAAGGCAGCTGCTCTAATCCAACATGGGTATCCTCCGAAAAATCCCTGCTTTCTTGCACTCTCTCTTCGTCTATCAATGACTTTTTAATGGCCTGCTGGGTTTATATTTATGTAACTGTGGATTGTTCTGATGGAATTTTGAATAGGTATCTCGCGGGACTCTATGCACAAGAGGCGTGCCACTGGTGGCAAGAAAAAAGCTTGGAGGAAGAAGCGCAAGTACGTTTGCTGTTTTTAGTTTATCTTTGCTGTTGTGGCTCATATTTGGCTAGCTTATTCATGGTGGATTCATCCTCTTGTTAGCTATAGCTTTGGTCTTTTTTGATGTCACATTGAATGGGTTGAACATGAAATTTGGGTTCATACTTGAGAGATCAATTTTCTTTTAATTTTTTGTACTGGCTGAGTTTCATTTATCCGATGGGGTGTTGGAGTTTATGCATTTTGGTTTTGGCCAACGGGTTGAGAGCAAAAGATGTCCAGGATTTGTTCTTTCCTACACGATCTGAATTTGAATTATTCTGGCGTTCCTCCGATGTTCTGATCGTTGTGTGTGGAACTAATTGTAGTATGGAAAGAAGAAGAAAATGATTGTCCCATTTTCTGGAGTCTTTATTTCAAAGTGATGAGTGTGGCGTTATATAGAGTAGTTGTGTTCCTGGTTTTACAGATTTCGTTTCTCGTTGTTGATCTAAGTGAACTTGCTCTTTTTAGTTGACATTGTACTTATGGATTTTACTACCTCTTGCTGTTTCTATATACCTGTGCATCTTTACGGCATTAATTAAGTGTCTTTCGTCTGTATCAGCATGTTTTGTTTGGATTTTAATACTCATGACTTCTTTGCAATGTAGTAGTGGCTATGACTTCCACAATTAAGTTTCAATTTGTCTCGTGTTTTTCATCTTATGTAGATGTAATTTTTATGTGGTTTGTTTTCCCCATTTCATGCAATTGCTGCTGCCTGCTTTCCAATAGAACAAAGTTTTTGCACTATGTTTTGTCCCATGATAAATATTGAGGTATTCCTCATGTGTGATCCAAATTAGGAAAAAACCCGGCATGGTTGGTTGTGAAACTGGTTCTGCATTTACTGCACACGTTTGTCTGCTTTGTCCTGGGCTTCTGCCTGATATATATATATGTTTTTTGTTTCTTTTAAAAAGGTATGAGCTTGGTCGCCAGCCAGCAAACACTAAGCTCTCAAGCAACAAGACAGTCAGGAGAGTCCGTGTCCGTGGAGGCAATGTGAAGTGGAGGGCCTTGAGGTTGGACACAGGAAACTATTCTTGGGGTAGTGAGGCTGTCACTCGGAAGACCCGTATTCTTGATGTGATGTACAATGCCTCAAACAATGAGCTTGTCAGGACGCAAACTCTCGTGAAGAGTGCAATTGTTCAGGTTGATGCAGCCCCCTTTAAGCAGTGGTACCTTCAGCATTATGGTGTTGACATTGGCAGGAAGAAGAAGGGGCCTGCTAAGAAGGATGCCACTGAGGTATATTGACATCTGTAGTCAATCTTATATACACTAATAGTGTACACACTCATGGTTGGATGCATGACACATATACAACATTTGGATATCAAATTCAAATTATTTGTTATGCATCCAATGATGGTAGTGTATAAACTATCAATCTATAGAAGATTAATCCTTTTGTATAAGCACTTTAATTGTGTGAGGGTACCTGCGTCCACCATAATCTCCTTCAACAATTCTACTTCAAGTAGTTTGTATTATTGTATTTAGTAATAAGCACTTTAATTGTGTATAATATGCATATACTAATTTGTTGAACCAATCCTCACCCTTTGGACGATTGGTTACTTTTCTTTCTGCACCTTAGTGGAGCACCCAATAATTGTGACCAATCTGGAAAGAAACAAAAAGAAAAAGAACCAAGGGAACAGTGTTTCTGATGTTTCCAACTAGCCAAATTCCATGATTTTTACTTGCTTGTACTATTATATGGCAGGATGGAGAGGCTACTGCTGAGGAAACTAAGAAGAGCAACCATGTTGTCAGGAAACTTGAGAAGCGCCAGCAAGGCCGCGCACTTGATCCTCACATTGAGGAGCAATTTGGGGGTGGTAGATTGCTGGCCTGCATATCTTCTCGCCCAGGTCAATGTGGCAGAGCAGATGGGTAAGCTCAAGCAGTCATACCGGCTTTCTTTGTTTTAGTTTACTACTGTTTCTCAGTTGCAGCGCCATCACACTTGTTTGCTCTTGTTGGATGAGTTTTTTGCAGTTACATCTTGGAGGGTAAAGAGCTCGAGTTCTATATGAAGAAAATTCAGAGGAAGAAAGGCAAGGCTTCTGGTGGTGCTGCTTAATCAGAATTCTATTTTCTTTTCTTGGGGGTCTTATCATAGAATTTTAGGTTTTTATGCTTCCTTAGCTTTTGTCAACTGTACTTTAGTGGCACAGGAAAGGTTGCTGGAACATTTTCAGCTACCTAATTGCTAAAATTTTGAGTCTTTTCTTCTCCCTTTATGAATTAATTATATGGTCGTTGTTAGACATTTCAGAGTACCAGTCTTTGACGAGCAAGCTGTCTGATTTGCTCGTGCTTTAAATTCGAATTTCCACCTCTTTTGAACTTCTTTATGTTTGCCCTCATTTCTTTTCCCATTTGATCCCCATGAATCTGCTCGAAAATTTGACCGTTTTGGTGTGTTATTGTCAGCTGCAGTTTCTCGTCTCGTAGTTACTAACACTAGACCTGAAAAGCGTTTTACAATTTGACAAACTGAAAAGCTTGTTCTCCAGAGCGAAAAGATTTAGCCGGGTGACCTCGGTCAAGGTTTTCAGATCAATGCCATCTAGGGTTCGATCAGTGGTTGCTAGGTCGTTGAAGCGGGCCAATGGGGTAATATGGGTGAATGAACATGTCGGTACACGTTTAGGCAATGGACTCCCATGGCCCAGTTGCTTACAAGCAGTGTGTGTTCGGTAAGTGGCCCAGTTGCATTAGCGCTCTTAGTACAATTATCCTGAAATAGGCCTTATTGTTGGGTGCTCCCCCGAGTGGCGTTACGTGACATCTTCCGAACCCGCTAAATCAGCTGTACGTATCTCCGCTAGGTGGCTCAAATCTTGGCCTTCCAAATCAAGCCTGAAGGCCGAAATTTGTTTTATTATTACTTTTTTTTTTTGTCAGCAAAAATACATTTGTATAATCTATTCTATTCTAATCTAGGGGGAAGGGGAGTCTAAGGAGGTTGTTGTAGGGGGTTAGTGGGTATACAGGCTCAACTAGATTAAAGGAGTGCCTAAGGAGGTAAGGAGGTTGTTATAGGGGGTGGATATACAGGCCCAACTAGATTAGATTAAAGGAGTGCCTAAGGAGGTTGTTATAGGGGGTTAGTGGATATACAGGTCCAACTAGATTAAAGGAGTACTCTGACACAATTCTTAGATTTTTTTCGCTGCAGCAAGGAGAAATTTAAGCCCCTCCCTGATGGGTTGTTTTATTATTGGTTCAATAGTCGAAATACAAGTATTGGTGCAGATTAGGCACCATATTGCTTCTTCCCTCAAACTCCACGAAAATAATAATAATAACCACCATCTGGTAAGAAGGGGAAGGCACACGCATGGACAGGTACGAGTTTACCAAAATATCAGATGCATCAAAAACTTGTCCATGGAAACGCTGATTTTCCTTCCAAGTGCAGGAAAAAGCACTTAAAAAACACAGTTGTAAAGCAGGATTGGCATCGGGCAAAGTTTGGTAGAACACATTATTATAACAATGGCCCTCCTTTGTCTGTGCGTTCTTTCTCCCCCATGGAAGGAATATAATGCTCACCAAAGTGCATGGGAAAGACCATAAAAGAAAAGGACGTCCACAACCACAACTCTCTGGTTAAGAAGAAGGATATTGATTACTGCTACTTTTAGCACTACCCTTTTGCCTCAACCAAACAAAAATGTCAGCTTAGTGCATTTTCATTTTTGAATCCTTT